GTACAGGATTTAATGAAGGTAAACAAAGCTGACGGCCGTGCGTAATGGCATTGCACTCTGACGTGGCACTTCTCAAATTGGAGGCTGCAGTTTCATCAACATATCTGTCCTCCTGAGGTTTGATGAATTGGGGGAGAAGCGTTTCATACAGTGTTACATAGGTGTGTTAAGTTTGGGAGATTGGCAGCGGAGTGATGCTGCGCCAGAAACACGTGTGGTTCTTAACCGTCTATTCTCAGCACATCCTTTCAGACCCAACTTCCACCAACTGCTGCTTGCGCTGGTCGTTGCCGCAACCACCTCTTACAAATAGCCTAATGATTCATAAAAAGAGAAGTGTGAGTCAAGGTGGGAGAAGTAGCCTTAAAACTTGCAGGAAGTCCTCCGCAGCAGGCCAGAAACTTCCCACTCAGAGGAAGATGGCCAGAGAGAAAATGAGGGTTTACTTTTCCTGTTGCTGCCTAGTAACCAGGAGCCAGAGGCCATTGTGGTGGTATCAACAAGCAGAAGAAAAACCTCTTTTAACCAGTCAACACCTAAACCTTGGAAGGCTTCCACATTAAGCAGAGCTCAGCCTCAGCTGGAGCGGCTCCAAAACCCTGCGCCTATATGCGAACATCCACCAGGGGAAAGCGTCTCTTTTTCTTTTATGAACACGAATAAAGAGCAACACAGCAATGTTACCGGCCCAGGAATAGCTTCTCCCCGTGGTTATGGGTTCGCCGCTGACCGGATAAACCCCGGGTCCCACAGGAGCAGAGCAGACCCAGAGCCTCGCTGTGGTGGGCAACCATAAATCCACCCCCCCCCCCGCCTTCTCTGTTCCACAACAACCCCCTTCTCTCCACTGCACTCCACTCTTGAGTGCTTCTCTGTCTCTGCAGCCTCTGTGGTAATGAAGTGCTTTATGGCTGCAGAGGATTGGGGGGGTGGGGGGGGCATGGGGTTAGCCCACAGCTCATTCCCATTGTCGGGGGGCACAGCGGTGACTGGGCTGATTAAGTAAAAGTCTGCCCCCTCCCCCCAGCACAAGGGTCCGAGTGGGTTTGGTGATCTCAGCGGGAGGTCTCAGATAAACTGTTCCCTCTTTTGATGACGGCTCTACAAATTATTACCACTTGATTATTATCATTACACTGTTCAGTCAGGCACCGTCTGGATTTCAATCCTAAAACCTTGTTCTCGACGAGGGTTTAGAGTTCAGACGGTTTTCATTTGTTGTGTTTAAATTATCTGAAGCCCTCTGAGACTCTAACAGTGATTAAAGGCTACACAATCACAAGCTTGACTCACTGCCCTTAATGTCGGGAAAAACATGTTTTCACCTTGTTAGCTAATTCTTCCCGTCATAATGTTTGTCTTTAGAGAATTAAATGCCGGAAAATGAACAAAACCTTTGCCTTCTTGTATTCTAATATTAAAACCCGACTGAATTCCTTCCTACTGAGCTGAATTCTGCTACCATCCAAGATGTTTGAACAGTATTCAGCACACTTTTTGACCAGTTTCTGAAATGAAAGAGATTGCAACATCGCACAATAGATCAGGGATGTCAATGTCAGTCTGTCACTCAGGTCTGAAATATTTAATATTTTCAACAACTATTGGATGAATTGTTATGAAATCTCCCATAACTTTGGTGTTCATCTGACTTTTCAACCAGCTTCATCATCATCATCAAGTCAAAGTCCCAATTACCTGTTAAATCAACTAAATGACATGACGACGCCAACATGCTCGGTACAGCTTAACAGAGCCACTGTAGACTCTTTAGTTCTGTTTTGGTGTCAACTGCACACATCCTGATTCATGTGGCTGTAATTTAACAGTTACCAAAACATTTGGGATCTTTAAAGCCCTTAAAAATGTCGCTCTCCTGCCTCTTTCTGTCAACTAAATGTGAAACTGGCAAAAGCAAGACTTTGTGTGACTTTAAACACGGAGGCCTTTAATCCGGCGCTCTGTGCTGAAAGTGTTGCTCAGTGAATACAGGTGTTCCTCTTGAAGTGCTAAGTGTTTTGACCCGCTACACACCTGAGCCTCCGGTAGCAGCTCTCCATTCAACAGTGGTCCCCCTGCCAAAGATCTTAATGGCCAGACGGCGCTCTCCACGCCTCGGCCCCGCGCTCACACTCACGTGGGGAGGTCTCCGAAATGAAAATGCCATTATAAAACATTTACCAGCCTGCTGAGTTTACATGTCTTACAAGAAAAGGACCGTTTGGAGCGGTTAAGTGTCACATAAATCTTTCAGCACGCTAATTGAAGTGGTTCCCCCAATAGGCCACTCTCCACAGCTGCTATTACAAAATCACACAACTGCGGATGGGACGGCCAGCTGCAAACCAAATCTTACACCCACTTGATAACGTTGTTAAGACACACACACACACACACGGTGCTCTGTGGGTTTGCCGCTGCTGCTAGTTTGCTCAGACAGCTCCACCGGGAGCGTGCGATGTAGTCGTATGTAAACACAAGTCATCTTTCAGTGAAATATGCTCCGAGAGGCGGCACAAGTGTGTGCGCGCTCCTCATCTGGAAACAACTTATTTAGAGCATATTTAAGCGGGCAAGTTGAAGAGGAACACGGTGTTATTTCCAGCAGCAGCCTGGGGGAGTCGTTGCAGGAGGTGGAGGGGTTACACCTACAGTATGCACCAGCTCACATCTGAAAGCTGGATTGCTACAGCTAGCTGCCGAGCATCTCCACCAAAGCTTCGGCGGTTTACTTTGAGCTTTATGCCACCGCACTAGTTAACAGAGATCACCTTCCAGCTGATTGGAACGAGCTCTCTAATCTCCTTTAGCTTTATGTCGTATATCAGAGCATTGAGTTCAAAACTGTGCAGGGCCGTTAAACTCTGGAGGGCTTTTTCATGGCTCAGCAATTACTGAGGCCTAAAACTGATGTATTCCACCTCCCACTCCATCTTCCCTCTCTGTCCTTCAAAACCTCTCTGTTCGCTGCCCTTCCTATATTTATCCCTCCTCCTCTTTCCCGCTGTATTGTCTTTCTCCCTGCTTTTCTTGGTCTTTGTCTCGCTCTTGTCCTAACTGCCACAGAACCTGTTGATGCAAATAGAAAAGTGTTTTTGATTGTTGGAGCTAAAGACTGGGAAGAAGTAGAGTGGACACTTTGATTGTGTCTATTAAGGATTAGTGGGGTTTTCGTACAGGTTCCCACAATCACCACTAAAAGAAAAGTTGTACGGATGTTCTTACCACCTGCTTGTATGTGCTTATTACATGTATGCATTAAAGAGTGGAAAGACAGTCAATTCAAGACAAACTCTTGCAGAAAAAGTTTTTTTGCGTTTGATAATGGAAAAGCTGGTGTATTGTTTAAAGAAAATGCAACAAAGTGGAGACAGACTTAGTGAATAAATCATGACTTGCATGAAACATATGACTTCAAGGTATAATATGTAGGATTTCCCTTAAAACAATGTATAGAGTCATAATAAGTAATCCTTCACATATGACCCACTAGAAGTGTGTGGTGGTGTATGTATGCAGCCTCGATTTTGCATTTCTTTATTATTACTTTGCTGTGTTCAGGATGTTTCTGGGCGTCAGCCTTTGGGCAGTGGATGTGCAACGCAAACATGCATCCAAGAGGAAGCTATACCCAAAAAAAAGCAATAACAGCGAGACAAAACTCCAAGGGGACAGAGCTTGTTCCACAACAAGAGTGAGCCTGGGGTTGGCTTTCGCTTTCACCGCCGCATGTGATGCTGCAGGTGACACACTGCTGAGCTGTGGTCTTGCAAGCACGGACAGGCCGCGTGCGCTGGAGAATGTTGCATTTACAAACAGTAAGAGACAATTCCTTCATAGCGTGCATTTAAACCTCCACTGAAGAGACAAAAACATCAGATCTGTGTGGAGCGATCAGGAGTCTTATCTTCTTCAAATTATTTCATGAAACAAACAGAAATGTCAAATTTCCATCTTGGTTTTCCATCGTTTGAGTTTTGACAGCTCATCCAACAGACGTGGACGCAAACGCACATTAATTCTCATCTTCTTGCACTGATTTTCTGAAAAACTTTGCTCCACGTTTCGGTGGAAGAACGACATTGAGACAATCAAAACAAACATCTAAATACATGAGTCTCTGAACAGACGGCGGCGGCTGCCAACCCGCAGGTAGCTGCGACACAAATCCTGCACGCAGGTGGGAGAGCGGATCGAAGGCGCTTTGATGGCTCTTTTTTTTCCATGTGACACTCTGTCTAATGTCTGAGTGGTCATCACTGGGGGGGGTTCCTCTCTCTCTCTCTCTCCACTGCATGTGGGCCATTCACAAAGTAATAACCGCGCCCCGCTGTGCCCATCATGCCTCACTGCCAAAACCTCATCGGCAACACCTGGCACCATGGCAACCAACACCTGCTCGCCTAATTAGAGGGCCGCTGGAGGGAGAGGAGATGAAGAAGTTAATGAAAACGCTAATCTGGTCCAATCAAACGCCCAGGCATCTGCCTTCCTCGCTGTAGCAGCAGGTCGTGGTAATGGCCGCCTTATGGGCGCCTCCCCCGCCACGCCACCTTGAGTGACCTCATCAATGCCAAAACTCCTCCGAGAGGCTGCAAATAGAGGAGAGCAGACAGGAGGAAGTGGGAGGGCGAGGGAATGCCGGCGCGCCGCTTCCTGGATGGACAGAGAAGCCGGCCCGGGCGAGGTGTCAGCCAAATGAACGAGCATTAAGAGATGAGGTTTCCCAATGCACAGCAGCTGGAGCGGCTCCAGGTCGCACCAGCTGCGCTGCTCTTGTTTACAAGCCGCCACCTGCTGCCGGAGAGGCCCTGGTGCTCTGAGGAACATCTTCTGGTCTGTGCGAGAGACATTTTAAGGGTCCTCTATGAACTGTTCTGACACCATATAGGAACTTGCAAGCGTTTTTGTGAGTCACTACAAAAGGTAGAAGTTTGTGTCATGTTGGTGTTTTTTGTGTGTGAACGTCACTGAACTCTTTCTGTTTCCCCCCCCAACAGGAAACCTCAAAGGGATGTGTAAACAGATAGACCACTTTCCTGAGGAAACTACGAACTATGAAGCGGACCCGTCTGAGTACTTCTTACGTGAGTCTCCCTCTTTTCACACATATAAATCCTATTTGCACATCAGATTTTGTTGCTCAAGTTGTGGAGCCCCCCCCTCCATCCCCCACACAAAGTTCTCTGGATATATTCTCAGACTACTTTTAAAATCGGTCCCACTTTGAGCTCCGTGTCAGACCGGAGCCAGTAGCGGCTCTTGGCCCGTGTGTCACTGGAGGGCCGGCCAGGCTGAGTCCTGCCAAGCAGCTCGTCTGTTTTTACTGCCTGGCTGTGTGTAACATAACGTGCAGTGTTACAGTCGGCTGTGTACCCTGTAAACACAGCCCATTGATTTCTGCTCTCTTTCCCTTTGTGCAAGCAAGACAGAGATGCTTGTCCAACTCATTTGCCTGCTAATCCTAAAAAAAATCACAACAATGACTCGGAGCTTGTGATGTAGTGTTAGTATCGTCAGCTCAATACTCTCTTCTGATTGGCCGACTGGTGTGTTTGAGACGCTCATTTGTGAATAACAGACTCCTGAAGTCAGCGAGTTAAACAGCAACATCTCGAGTTAAAATTTAAAGTTGGTTTTATTTAATGTTTGTTTCATTACCGGTCAAAATGAATATGTGTTTATTACAGCTCTAAGTAATGAATCATGAGTATTTTAAAGAGCGTTTTATTAACACTGAATCAGTAACTCTGCTTTCACTTTGGCAGATTTTGATTTAGTTTTGATTTTGGAAGGACAATAACTGACATGTTGCAGTCCTGCTGATCTGGTCCAATCAGGAGGACTTTCTTTTCCGATTTGGACGTTCTCTTCGTTTGTGAGGCAATCTGTTAAAGCAGCTTTGATAGAGAAACTTATTTGGAGAGTGTCACTGCATCGGAAACCCGTTGTTTACACAGACACATGTAACACAGTAGCAGTCTGTGCGAGTAGTGTACGGGATTACTGTCATTACATTTTAGTCAAACAGTTTGTGGAGTTTAAACCTGTAGTCTTCAAAGGACGCTGACTCAAGTGACATCATTCAAACAGCTGGAGACACTAAAGGACTTATACGACTTTTTCACGGACACATTAGTACACCTGTAATCAGACTTACTTTTTTCCATAAGTAATATGTAATGTGAAATAGATTTCATTTGTCAAGTAACTTGAAACAGTGATTATAAAATGGATTTCTTTGGTATATTTGATAAAAAAAGCCACGTTAACTTTAGTCCCTGATGACCCCTGAAGTGGTACCTCCTCCTCCTCCCTCCTCTTCCCTCCTCCTCCCTCCTCGCCGCTACAGCCCGCAGCGGTTTGAAACTAGAAGTCAGAAAGTGTCCGTGTCTTCATGTCCATCAGCAGGGACAGTATGAGGCCTCTCAGAGAGCCGAGCAGTGCGTGACAGTGCCGGAGATTAAGCCCAGCCAATTAGGCTGTGTTTGACTTAGCGCTCTGAGTGGTTGTTCCCGTCCATATGTGCCAGAGAGGACAGTTATGATAACAGCTCTGATAATGATTCGAACAATGTCGGAGCCCTTTGCGAAGGCAGATCTGTCTTCGTAAAGAGGCGCCTCTCAGGCCGGGGACGACGGGGTCGCGGGGTGGAGGCCTCGCTCAGGCCCCTCGGACCACCGGCGCTCGTCTGCATCCGTGCGTGTGTGTGCACACACATGTGTGTTAACCTCTTCCCTGGCTGTGATTGGAGGAGAAGGCCGCAGTGCTCCCAGTGGCTTGCCAATTAGGACACTCGCATCCATAAATATTTCAGCCTCCTTCTTATATAGGTCAGGTCTCTCTCTCGATCGCTGTCTCTCACACTCTGCCTCTCTTCACCCTCACACCCAGAATGTTTCATGTCAGGAGTTGTGCAGCTCCTGTTGCCATCTCTCTGGATTGAAAGTGAGACCTGGCGATTCAGAGCGTCAAGCTGTATAAAGGGGTGCATGAAGAGTTCACAGAGGAGCATCTTGGGGGGTGTGATGTATTTTTCTGTATCTGCCCATTTCCATGTCACAGACACACATCTTGTATTTCCATAATGCGGAGTTTCGCGGCGCCTCTGGGTGGTCAAAGACAGAGAGAAGCTGCCTCTGCTCTCACAGGAGAAGGGGGGGGGGGGGGGGGGGCAGAGGGTTAGTTATGCAACAGAAATGATGTCACTTCAGGTGAAGGCCCCGGCGGAAGTGACATCACCAGGGAGCTCGCCGGTCCAGAAATCAAGGGGACACACCGGTGATGTCATCACACAGCGTAGAGAGGAGGAGGAGGAGGAGGAGGAGGAGGAAGAGGAAGAGGGAGCTATTTGGTGCTGTGGCTTCTGAGCGGAAAAAACACACAAATCTGACTGCATTCTGCAAAACACGCTTCATCTAACACACACTCTGATCTGCTGTCACACACATACAGACACGCCGCATATCAGTAGCTCCTGTGTGTCTGTTCCGTGAGCTCTCCCAATAGCAAGGCAGTTTGCACATCCACAAGGGGTTATATAAGCCAGCTGAGGCACAATAAAGCGCCAGTGGGTTTTTAGATCATGCCGTGTCGGAGCTCCCATCATCCACTGCTCTACTGGGTGCTAAGCAGCTGAGAGAGAAGAAAGAAGGGAAGAAAACGCCCCGTTATGCAAGCTACTAATGCTAAACTGAAAGACATCAATTCAGTGTAATAACGAGAGGAAGATCACGTGAGGGGAGGTGGGATGTGTGTATCTGACTCCTATGGATGCATGCTGGTGTGTATATCATCATGATAATAAATCATAGCAACAAAAAACAACTATTTTAGTAATTATGTAAATTAGTAAAGCGGCTTCCAGCTGCTTTTCTTATGCGAGAATAAATAAACTTATGATTTTGGACTGTTGCTTCAACAAAACAAACAATTTATGTGTAAATTGCTGTTTTGCTTCAGGATGATGTGATCGATACTTTGTGCAAGATTTTATAGACTGAATTAAGAAAATGCCCCATACTCTAAAGCAGATTCATTGATGTGCAAAATAATTGTTATCTACAGCCCCGAATGCATTACACGCATAAAATAAAGCTATGGCTGCAACTAAAGATTATTACAGACTAATTGTTTAGTCTATTAAACTGCAGTGAAGTAATACAAGTCACAACTTCCCAGAGTGCAAGGTTTCGTCTGACCAACAGTCCAAAACTCAAATATATTCACTTTACAAAGCTATGAAACACGGCACAGCAGAGAATCCTGCAGGAAGCAGAACATATTTTTGGCTTAATGACTGAGACGATTAAATATCAAAATACATGAGTTATTATTTCAGCTTTCATATAAAAACTGTGTGCAGAACCTCTTCCATCATTTCACTGCTGATTAATTTAAATAGTTTTATGGTTTGTATTAAGTCTCGTGTTTCTCTCACTCCTGGCCACAACATGTTCTGCTGCTTCAGGCTGCGTATTTGCTTGTTGTCAGATTGTTTTTCTCACCCAGCAGCCCACTGGGAAGAATCCGCCCCCCCCCCTTCATCCTGCAGCGTGTCCCACTTCCATACTATAAACTAATAAGCACTATATCGGGGGCCCTTTTTACCCCCTCAATTAACTGTCTCATGAACTTTCCCGGGTGTGTTTTTGCCCCCCCGAGCATGCGTTGATCTCTGCCTCTGGTGTTTGCATGCGTTCGTCTGAGAGTATTCGCTGACATTGATGACAGAAGGGCAGGCCTGTCACAGCCTGTGTCCCCCTGAGGCCTCGCGGCAGACTGGACGCTGGCCTGAACTGGCTTTTGCGTCGCCCGATAAAATCAATGGGTCTGGAGCAGGACACGCAGGGGCTTGTAGGGCAGAGCGGCATCGCTGGCTTGTCGACCACTGCAGAGTCTCTGCTGCCAGTTTGTACATCACGTGACCCGAGATGAGCTTGTCAGACGGGTAGATAATATATTATAGCAGGCGAGGAAGTTAACATCCAGCCCCTGTGTTTCCTTTAGCAGGTGTCCCAGTCGGTCACGGTGGCATTGAGCATCCTGTTCCTCGAGCGGTATCCAAGACAACAAATAAGGAATCCATCGAGCGATACATAAAAGACGGGAGCACAGACACGGACCAATAAATTAAAAGCCAATCATTTTTGTCCTGGTTGACCGAGTGAGTGCTAGCACTCTAACTTCATATCTTATTAACAGGGAATATAGTGAGACGTCGCAGCTTGTAAAACACAGAGGTGAGAGAGTGTGTCCTCATAACAAAGAAAGATTATAATACACGGTGTCGTGTTGTCACCGGGGCATCATCAAGAGACGGCTGCACCCTCGCAGACCAGTTTTACATGCACACATTTATTCATCATGTAACATCAAACACTGTATAACTTTACTGTAGAATTACAGGCAGCATTTTCATCCTGTAAGGTACAATTTTCAGTATCTCCTATATCAAAAGACAAGACATACAGTAATTTGCTGTAAAAGTACAGTATTTTACTGTAGCAGCTTCACCAGCAAGATAATGTACAATCTACAGATCTCAGAAACACAGTCACTTTTATTACTTTTATTAGTAAATTACTGTGAACCCCCCCCCCCCCCCCACACACACACACACACACACACACACACTTGACCGTTCATGGATCACGGGAGCAAGCGTTATGACTCCCAGAATGCATTGCTTTCACAGGAATATAAAGTTTAAGAATAATACTGCAGATCAATATTGAAATGTTACTGTTAATTTACATCAAAGTGTTAGAGTGCATGCTTGTGTCCTCTTTTTACTTCCAAACATAAAGCAGTAGAATGTCAGGTTTGACTGTTTGTGATCAACATATCAAAATAAAATCATGCTTTAGTGTGAAAAGCCAGAAGGGAAGCTGATCCTCATGCAATGAAAAGTGAAATGACTTCCAGCTGCTTCAAGATAAAGAAATAAAACAACACAATAGATTTACTCTCCATTTGTTTTGCACTGTAGAAGATGATTAGAATACTTTTGGTCAATTTAATCTTGAGTTGATGTTTTAACCCTTTGTGGTTGGATTGACCTGAACTGGTCACTCAAAGGTACCTT